GTGCTAGAGTTTATTGAGAAGGATATGGTTGAGAAGAAATGGCGGATGCACTAGTGTACTGCTGGTTCATTAAAACTTCCATCCTGTAAAATGATTTCTAGTTTTAGCTCTCCATCTCCGCACTTTTTAAGACCCGGTTATCTCACGTCATAATCTGATTCTATAATTGTTGATCGATATGCGGCAGGGATATGAACCCAGTAGTTAGCTGTAATATAGGGACGTTTTTTCTGTTACGAATGTGATAGATTCACTGACGTAATCTCTTTCTTTGTAAGATTAACATTTCCCACCTAGTCATTCATTGTCACTGTTGAATGAAGCTTCTGTAATCTATTGTGTTCATTTGTGCAAATTTTGAATTCAGCCTTTTCTTATGAAAAGCGGAATTGGTGATTGTTTAATTAAGTTAGATGCATGCTTTTGTCATTTTCAACCTTCACATATTTTAACGTTACCTGCATTGCGCTTTAAAAACGTTAGAATCCTGCGCTTTGCTAAGAAGAATGAATGCAAGTTTTCTTTCTTCTCTTAGTAATTGATCATAGATGACATTTGTGAGTAATGACAAAACATGACAAACAGTAAAGACCAGAATAAACAAAATTGAAATCTATTTCTCGACATACCAGGTAGGGTTAGACTGATCACAAATTTTGAAAAGAATAATAAGACTTGATACTCTGAAATGTGAAGGGTGCAAATTCTGAGGTGCGCAGAAGACTAGTAGGATCCAAACCTTCGAGTTATAACATCTTATTCATGCAGCAAAGCAGTCATGCAGTATTGACGTCCCGAAATCTGATGTGAAATACGCTCGCATATATTTCGCATACTCTAGAGAGTTCTTTCAAATTCTGATTATGGTGTCAAATTACTGCTGCGAGATGTATTTTGTGCAAAAAAAAAACCTACAGTCATTTCACAGCAAATTTTCGTGCCGCTAAGTGTTGGAGCACAAAAAACCAAGATCATGCATCTGATGTTAATGGACTTAGAAAGTGGGTAGTTCTTCCTGTTTTTCTTCATTTTATGTGCCATTTTTTTCTTCGTAAATCTTCAAATTTCACGCAGTTTCATGCTTAGTTTCCCATAAATAAGGAGCAAATCTATTGGTCGCCTGCAGTTTAGGCACTACCAGCTGACGCATCGGAACATCTTGGAAGGGGCGTGGCTGCACAACACTCTATGCAAATATCATAAAAGGCTAGAATGACATCATTGCGCAGACAAGAGAAACGAT